CGTATGCCGGCCGTGAAAGCCTTCGACAATACATTATCTCGACATTTGCAGCTCAGATATGGTAGCCCCATTATATTGTCATTCGTTGGGTTCATGCAGAACCCAAGAGTCCTCCAGAGTGAGCCATCCACCATTCTGGACTTGTCTCCTGGGATGCTTCCAGATATAGGACTAATGTGCAATAATGTAACCTCTTTCACAGAATGTTTTATGAGCCACTCTTTGTTTCCTTCCCAGGTTCTACTCTGATTTTACACTGAAAATCTAGTAAGGCAGAAAAGAGAGAAGAGCTGCACCATGAGGTCCTCCTAAACAAACCATATTTGGTATAAGGTACAAACTGTAAATACTGCTGTGTGAAAGCACATGTACGTACTGTGGTATGTATCAGGGGACTTCAGAACTGCAAGCCAAGGTCACATACCTGGTGGAAGGAGTCCTTTGGTATTCTGAGCTGAGCTTCCCTGGCCGCTAAAGGAGTGAAGCACAGGAGATGGAGAAACCACCACAAGTAGTTAAAACAGGGCTACGTATTTGCTGAACTGCATTTATTTGTTTGTTTATTGTTGTATAAACGTGATTGCATACACAGAGCTCTTCCCTTATTTCACTCTCACAACAACAACCCAGAAAAAGATAGGGACTAGCCTAAAACTCATCCAGTGATATCTGAGGCAAGCAGGACTTGAACTGGGTCTCCCCAGTCCCAGTCTGAGACCATGATCATCATGCTGCATTGGTTTAGTTACCAAGTACAATACCATTAATTGGGGCTCCCACTTTTTTTTAGCAATTGAAATGCATCTATGCATTTAATTAAAAGGAAAAAAAAAGCTCATTGATCACCAATTCAACAACTATAAAGTAAGAATAAGAAAAGTTAACATTAAAGGAAGCACATGAAAAATAAGAGGTACAATCCATGGAGTACATGTCTTAAAGCAGTGTAGGCAAAAGAGGATGTTGGTTCCTCCTATCCTCTGATTTCTGTTTTCTATTTTGTAATACTGTTTTGTTTTATTTTTTATTTCATCTTTTCTCCAAGAGCTAAAGGGGATATATTTGATCCCCCTCCCTGCTATCTAATTTCATCCTAATAAGTATTCCATAGAATAGGCTAGGCTGAAAGATAATCACTTAATAAACATTATGGCTGTGTGAAAATCTGAATGGGGGGGGGGGGGGTGTCTTTCTAATCCTAATTCAATATTTTAATCATTGCACTATCCGGTGCTGGGTCTCCAAAGTGCTGAGCAATGTATTTAATATTAAAATTCTTTCTTGGCTGTAAATCCCTTTGAATTTACTTTTGAGCCAATGCGTATAGGGGTCAGGCTGTTAAATCTAATTAGCAGCCACAACTTAACATCAGAGATAGAGAAGATATCTTAATAGTCACTTACACCCAGTCATGGTAGGAACACATCCTGGCAACATCCTATTTCTACAATGCTGCCATAACTTTCCCTTTATCTCTACCACGGCCAATAACTGAGACACGTACAAGTCCATCTTGAGCTGTGCTGGGTTCTGAGTGGTGTTTTCCTGCTTTAGCTGACAGTGTCCAATGATTGCTGTAAGGTGAGCAAAATCTGTTCTGCTTTGCCACTCCCCTGTTATGCCAAAGGCAAACTCAGGGGACCAGTAGTGAGTGGGACTGGAATCATGCTTATTGGCCATTTCGGATTCATGTGGGCATTATAACTCTCCCCTCTAGTTCCTGCTCAGCTTTGTTGGCTGCCACTCTGCTCTTGTCTCACTGAACAGCTGGAGGACACAACAGGGCTGCGCTAGAGATCTATCAGAATTGTTCAACAGCACTAAACTGCCCAGCTGACAGTACTATTGGTACCTTTAGATGATGGCCCTTACAGTTTAGCACATGGCTAAAATAGAGTAATAAAGGGATGAAGAGAGGATCCCGCTTCCCATTGACTCTCAGAGAACAGAGGAATTGGAAGTTGACATTTGTTGTCTATTATGAAGAAAGAAAAGGAAGGGAAGAAATATCCTAAATAGAAGCGTTCCCTGTAACTCCACTTCTTTATATTTAGTAGTGTAGTGTATTTCCACTGTCCCTTTTCATATGCATATGCATATGCAAATGTATTCTATAGGTATTCACTGGATAAGCTCAGCAACAATTCATATTACAGTAAAAGATGCCATTACCTCAAATGCTAACTTACCTTGATCTTCTGGTTTCTCTATCATGGAACTCCATAATGGCTTCTGAGGTGGTTTGATATCACAGGTTAATTCTGGGATCATCTTTGACCGACCCATTGCTAGCCTTTTTACTGCAAATCTTTGCTTTAATCAAGGTATCACTTCAGCAATTGTCAGATAAAATGTTTCAGCAGATGTCTAGTGTTTCTTAAGGACTATTGTTTTTCCTGAATTGGGAGTGGGTGAATGATGTCATAAACCAGTAGTATTATTATGTTTTCATTGTACATATGCCCAAAGTGATGGCAACTGAACTCTAGGTGTTTATTTAGGTATAAATCAAATGTATATGCCACCCATCTCACTATTTCTGGATTATATTGATTATCTGAATTTATTTCACTCTGGTTTGGCGGAATTAGATGTCCTTGGTCAGTGTGATAGGGATAATCTACTCTGCAGTGATACTATCAACTATTGGATAATATGGACGTATCGCCAATCCATCTGGATTCTGGGGGTTTCTCAAGGGTAGGTTTCAGAAATTGATGCTGGGAGACTACAATAGGAGATGGACACCATGCCCTATTGCCTAAAATATCACGAAATTCCATAAATCAAATCCCTCCTCACCTCCTAACCCTCCTTTCAATCTCTCTTCACAGGACTTAATTTTTAGTTCCCTGATCATCCTTGTTTCCTTCTCTGAACCCCTTGTAGTTTCTCAGTACTGACAGGCTGCCTAGACAGTAATTCCTCAGATCCTCTAAGATGAAAGAAAAATAGGTTAAATTGCCTAAAGAGGAGGACATCATGGGGATAGTGGTGCCATGCCAAGGCTGAGATGGCATAACAGCTGCACGTGGAGAACCCTCTGTGTGAATCCTTTGGACTGGCCAATCCTTAGATCTTTATTGATTCACTTTCTTGTTGTCTTTTCTTGATCCTCTGATTTATGTTTCCTACATTGTTTCTAATATCCATCATTTTTAAATTTTTTCTTAAAAATAGTCATGGTAGATTTTTTTCAGAAGGGCAGCTATATATTTTCAAAATAAATGAGCTTTCCTTTCATTAACAGTATATCTAATATTGAGGCAATCTCACTACTCTATCATGCTGAATGTTACTTTAGAAACTGGTCAAGTCAAAAAGTGGAATAAGCAACGTTTGGGTGTGTCTGTGTGTGTGTTTAATGACAACACTAAAAGTAATATAGCAATCTTGATTTCAGTCACAGACAAGCAAAAAAGTCATAAAATTACACAAACATAACAAGTGCAACCATTTCAGTAACTGAAACTTAATATTACTAATATAACATTGTAAACCTTACAGTTATGACTGTTATGCTAATGCTAAGTTGTCTATGCAATAAAATACAAGCTGAAAGAGATAATATTTTAAAAAATGGTAATAATAACCATTAATAAACTCTACATCTAAAACTAATTTAAAAATCAATATTGATTTAGCTCTCATTTATAAAATGGAAACATTTATGTACTGTAATGTTGTTTCAGAATTTACAAAATTTGCTTATACTTAATCAGCTTCTGGTGAGCCGTATAAACTACAACGCTTTACATGTTATAGAGAAATTCTAATCCATCGACCACATCAGCACGCTCTGGCAGTCTTGTCAATATCAGAGAGAGAAAAGTATTACCCGTCTTTATGTAGCAGACACTGAAGGACTTGCTTGGCCATCTCAAGCTGCCCAGTCCTTGGGGGCATAGCTATTCCACGCATGGGATTGTCTCATTACCTCTCCTCTGCAACCACAGAAGAGAACGTGTTCAAATGCATCGACCTTACAACCCTTTGGTTCTCTGGCACATTCAACTTCCTGAAGAATGGCCCCTGCACCGCTATGTACCTCCAGTTCTCAGAGACTACATCAGGCCCCTACCTCCATCAGACTGTCCAGAACTCAACCCAGTACAAGTCTTTTCATATCCCGAAGAGCAGAGGCTAGCTGGAGAAAGCCTCAGAATGCTAATTCACCATTGATATCTTCTTCCACACAGATGGCAAACCACCTCCAAGGACAAGAAAATGGGACAGCTTTAGCCAGCATTTAACCATAGTTATTCATGCTCTAGCCTTTACTCTCACCATGCCTGCCTCGAGATATAGGACAAATGACAGACATATCTCAGGGCCCGGAACACAGACCTTAAAAAATCAGCCTGAACATTGTTTAGGGATTTGATAATGGAGAAGGAACCTAATTCCCTGTAGAGCATCTGCACCAACCTTTTTACTTGAAATAGCCTAAGGGCCAGTAGCAGATAATTGCTACCTTTTGATCTTTGCAATTTATGGATGGTAGTTGTGGGCATTTGGGCCGAATACATTGCCTGTGCCTTCCTGCTGCCAGAAGAATGAAATGCTGTCTGCTAACAATACTGTTACCAATCTATCTATATGAGCTGGCAAAGTTCATAATTTTATTTTTTTAGATATAACTAATATCCAATGTCTCCTTACAGAACTGCACCAGGGCCCTTAGGACTCTTCTAAGTCCAATAAAGATTCTGGAAAAATGATTGATTCACCTGCATTCAGCAAGATGTTAACCATTCCAAATTATTTAAATAATTAATAACATTACATATATAACAGTTAAATAATAATGGAGCCAGAATGCAGCCCCGGTTCATTCTTTTTCGGGTGCTAATAGCAGTTGTTAAGTGTCCCTGAGGGCTGTATCTAACTTTTAGAGATGTATCTGCATATAAAGTTCACAAATAGCAGGTGTCAGTTAAGCTCAAACCTTATTACAATAAACAGAATCTAATACTGCCTTAAAATCAATTCAGGCTGCACACAGTGAGCTGATGGAACACACAGCATATTTCTCTAGGAGGAGTAATTGGACCAAATGCTTCTCTAGGAGGAGTAATTGGACCAAACTCTGCTATGTAGCAGAATGTCCCTCCCTCAAATGTGCTGTTCCTCTGCCAGGAGATTGTCCTGTCCAATCCAATCCTTCAGTTTCCAGGATACGCAGCTAGCATAATGTTTGCTAGTAGGCTTAATTGTAATATCAAGAAGTTTACAGTTCGCAGAGTCACCCCGCTATCTTTTTTTAAAGATGGGGCTGATGGCAAGCTTCCGGTCTTTAGGGACAGGACCATACTGAATGACAATAATTTTTTAAAACTACCACCCTACATTTTTCTGAATTTTCTTGGGTTATTAAGACGTTTCCTGGATCTTTTATTAAACTCAACTTGGCAATTACATTTTTGACCTCTATGATCATGACTTCTGGCCATTCTGGAAGCAATTTATGGAATCTTTCAAATTCTTTTTATTACTATCAGGAATTTCTATTTTTGTTTTCTCAGATGAGCAATTTCATATTGGATTTAGCTGTATTACAGATTATATCTCAATATGTTTTTGAAACATCAAAAGTACAATAGGGGGGAAAAAGAGAAGTCTTGGTATCAGTTACTGAATATAAAGGAGAAACATGAGTATAAGAATAATGTTAAGCTCCCTTGATTGGGGCGCAGGGGATGGGGGAAGCAGGAGTTTTGAAATGTTTCCTAGAACAGAGAAACTGGCAATATTCACTTTAAAAAGATGAAACAAAATGTTTGAAGGGTGCAGTATGAGAAAGGAATGTGACAAATGACACACGAGGTCTTCCGCCATCTTGTAATAGGACCTGTAGCTCAGCTTCATGGGTCACTATAATGTGTGAAGAGAGGCTCTTTCCCATCAGATGTACTGCCTTCCTCAAAACCTCTCTCTTATTTCTTCTGAGGATAATATTATGATATATAAAAATGCAAGTTATTTATATTACATTTCCCCAAGTTGATCTCATTCATAAGGGCCTCTTTTCATTTTCAAATAAACTTGCATTTGTTCATATGAATTCATACAAAAAACCCAAACAACAAAATAGCATATTGATTTTATGTATGCTCCTGTTTTTTGCTCTTTAGAAACTACTGCACTGTACAAATGGAACAAGGACAGAAGCTTTGTTGCTTCTGTAACCCTTGATTGCAACATTGCAGAAATCTGGTGTTAACAAGCCTGAAAATCTAGAGATGTTTGTAACTGGACGCTCCTGAGAATTTCCTGAGTGTGGTCTAGTCTTCCCTAAGAACCTGAGACTGGACAACTCATACCTCCAGCAATGAGTTCTACAGCAGGATAACCTCAGCAAAAACCTTCCTTCCTTCCTTCCTTCCTTCCTTCCTTCCTTCCTTCCTTCCTTCCTTCCT